AAATTGCGTCGAAGGAAGACAATGTTAAACCGAGTAATACAAAAGAATTTTGTGAACAAATCTCAGGTAAGACTCGATGAACCTGATAGATGGGCCAAAGGATGGATTTTATCCGATGCAGATGTGCCTGTAGCTAAAAGAAGGCTGAAAAGAGGCGGTATTATGGTGATATAGGCTGAAATTGTCGACCAAACTATTATTGGACTATTCAAAGTCGATTAAACTGTTGAACTGTGCTAAATATTGCAATGTAATGGACAAGACTTTCTTTGAATGGTACAAGTTCTAGCCTCGCAGGCTCAAAGTGAAGTGTGTATTTATGCGCGACAATGCTCCTTCTCGTGTATCTAAGGTCACGCGTGAAATTTTTGAGCTTTACAAGAGAGAAGATAATAGATTGGCTACCATCAAGTCCCAATCTGAGCCCGATTGAAAATATATGGTCAATTATGAAGATGAAATTATATGAAGGTGGCAAACAATACGACAGCAAAGCAGAATTATGAGAAACAATTAAAACTATCATATTGGAAACTGAAGTAAACAAGTTAACAAAATTAACTTTTCTAATGTAATTTTCACAGTCGGTGGACTTGATGGATGGGCCAAAATATGTTTTTTATCCGATGCAGATGTGCCTGTGATTAAAAGAAGGCAGCAAGCAGACGTTCGTGTGACGATATTGGTTGGAATTGTTGAACAAACCATTATTGAACCATTCAAATTCAATGAAAGAGTTAAACAGTGCTGACTATTGCAATTTAATGGACAAGACATTCTTGCAGTTTCAAAGTGAAGTCTGTATTTATGCATGACAATGCTCCTTCTCATGTATCTAAGGTTTTCCGTGGATTTTTTAGAGTAAAAAGGTTTGCAGAAGACGATATAATAGAATGGCCATCTAAATCCAATCGAACACCTATGGTCAGTTGAAGATAAATTATATAAAGGTGGCAAAACAGACCCATGGGAAAAAATTGAATCTATTATGTCAGAAATTGAAGAGAATGTGAGAATATCGATAACAGAAGGAAAGAAATTAATGGTTGTTTCAAGAAATTCAACAATAGGTATTTGAAAGATCTATGGCAGCCGTATACCTTAATCTTTGCCTCGGTGAATGTTTCTTTTTTGATTTTGTATGCCCACATATAGTACAACAATTTCAACATCTTGGAAGTGTTTTAACAGAACGGAAAGTGTGACACTGAAATCCGAAGGTGCATTGGGAAAGCGAAAAATGCCTCCCAAAATCTAAGCAAAGTATTAAGACACAGGAAAGTTTTCGTTACAAACAAACAAAATAGTACTGAACTGTTTACATAATATCAGTACTCCTTTATGGTAGTGAACACTGGACAATCTTTTCAAAGCTGAAGAAGAGATTCGAGGCAATAAAAATGTAGTTCTACAGAACGATGCTGAGAATACTATGGGCTGATCATGTGAGTAACGACGATGTTTTATAGAAAATTGAAACAAAAAGGATAGTTAACATCAGAAAGAAACAGTTGAAATTTCTTAGGTACATAAATGAGGAACGAGGGCTTGGAGGATTTGGCACACTCACCAGACATACTGAAGGCGTGAGGAACAGAGGAAAACAACGCATAAACTACCTAACAAGCTTGTGTAAAATGATAGCAGAGCAGAGTTTAGGAGAGACAGCGGAAAGATAAAATTTACTAAAAGTTACATGAAAATGTGGAGAACCATGATCGCCAACGTCATAAAGAGACAAGGCGCATAGAAGAAGATACCCACATATATACTAAAATATGTATAAAGGTAAAAGACAATAGGAAAACTCTATTATTAGCGTTTCGTCCAATGTGGAATTTTTCAAGGTAAAAACGAAATGACGAAACGCGATGGCTAATAATACAGTGTTTTCCTATTGTCTTTTACGTTTATACATATTGTCTTTTTCTACAGGTTAACCCTGAGAAATTTTTCATATACTAAAATATACATAAATAATATTTCTCCATTTGAAAGCTTCTGAGAATTGTTAGTATTGTTAAGTTCTATTTTAGCTTTAATACCAATAATAACTGGCACCGGGGAAATTATTCCTAGTGACATGAAAGTTGAAATTATTTAAATTAGGAATTTCAGGAAAGTGTTTAAACTGACATGGTTAGCAAGTCTGTGATTAGCAAATGGTATTAAGAAAGTTACGAAAGGTTTAATGAGACTTGCTATCATTTCATTAAACAACAACTGCCAGTCACTGGTGTAATACAGGCTGATGTTGGTAAAAAATTATTATTATTATTCATATTATTAAATTACTTTTTTCTAATGAGTAGCATATTGTTAACTGGGGCAAAATGATGGCTTGCCAATTTTAACGCCTAAAAACAAAACTGCTCTCAATTAATGATCTGAGAGAACTATCTCGCCTTACATAAAGTATGATTGATGCTGACCTCCAGGAAAATAACTCGTTGCGCCTTCTCAGGCTAACGTTCTCGGCTGACATGAAAGGAGAAATGTATATAGAATTTTTACACTGAAAAATTGCGTCGAAGGAAGACAATGTTAAAAACGGAGTAATACAAAAGAATTTTGTGAACAAATCTCAGGTAAGACTCGATGAACCTGATAGATGGGCCAAAGGATGGATTTTATCCGATGCAGATGTGCTAAAGCTAAAAAGAAGGCTGAAAGAGGCGGTATTATGGTGATATAGGCTGAAATTGTCGACCAAACTATTATTGGACTATTCAAAGTCGATTAAACTGTTGAACTGTGCTAAATATTGCAAAATGTAATGGACAAGACTTTCTTTGAATGGTACAAGTTCTAGCCTCGCAGGCTCAAAGTGAAGTGTGTATTTATGCGCGACAATGCTCCTTCTCGTGTATCTAAGGTCACGCGTGAAATTTTTGAGCTTTACAAGAGAGAAGATAATAGATTGGCTACCATCAAGTCCCAATCTGAGCCCGATTGAAAATATATGGTCAATTATGAAGATGAAATTATATGAAGGTGGCAAACAATACGACAGCAAAGCAGAATTATGAGAAACAATTAAAACTATCATATTGAAACTGAAGTAAACAAGTTAACAAAATTAACTTTTCTAATGTAATTTTCACAGTCGGTGGACTTGATGGATGGGCCAAAATATGTTTTTTTATCCGATGCAGATGTGCCTGTGATTAAAAAGAAGGCAGCAAGCAGACGTTCGTGTGACGATATTGGTTGGAATTGTTGAACAAAACCATTATTGAACCATTCAAATTCAATGAAAGAGTTAAACAGTGCTGACTATTGCAATTTAATGGACAAGACATTCTTGCAGTTTCAAAGTGAAGTCTGTATTTATGCATGACAATGCTCCTTCTCATGTATCTAAGGTTTTCCGTGGATTTTTTAGAGTAAAAGGTTTGCAGAAGACGATATAATAGAATGGCCATCTAAATCCAATCGAACACCTATGGTCAGTTGTGAAGATAAATTATATAAAGGTGGCAAAACAGACCCATGGGAAAAAATTGAATCTATTATGTCAGAAATTGAAGAGAATGTGAGAATATCGATAACAGAAGGAAAGAAATTAATGGTTGTTTCCAAGAAATTCAACAATGAGGTATTTGAAAGATCTATGGCAGCCATGTACCTTAATCTTTGCCTCGGTGAATGTTTCTTTTTGATTTTGTATGCCCACATATAGTACAACAATTTCAACATCTTGGAAGTGTTTAACAGAACGGAAAGTGTGACACTGAAATCCGAAGGCATTGGGAAAGCGAAAAATGCCTCCCAAAATCTAAGCAAAGTATTAAGACACAGGAAAGTTTTCGTTACAAACAAACAAAATAGTACTGAACTGTTTACATAATATCAGTAATTCCTTTATGGTAGTGAACACTGGACAATCTTTTTCAAAGCTGAAGAAGAGATTCGAGGCAATAAAAATGTAGTTCTACAGAACGATGCTGAGAATACTATGGGCTGATCATGTGAGTAACGACGATGTTTTATAGAAAATTGAAACAAAAGGATAGTTAACATCAGAAAGAAACAGTTGAAATTTCTTAGGGTACATAAATGAGGAACGAGGGCTTGAGGATTGGCACACTCACCAGACATACTGAAGGCGTGAGGAACAGAGGAAAACAACGCATAAACACCTAACAAGCTTGTGTAAAAATGATAGCAGAGCAGAGTTTAGGAGAGACAGCGGAAAGATAAAAATTTACTAAAAAGTTACATGAAAATGTGGAGAACCATGATCGCCAACGTCATAAAGAGACAAGGCGCATAGAAGAAGATACCCACATATATACTAAAATATGTATAAAGGTAAAAGACAATGAGAAAACTCTATTATTAGCGTTTCGTCCAATGTGGAATTTTCAAGGTAAAAACGAAATGACGAAACGCGATGGCTAATAATACAGTGTTTTCCTATTGTCTTTTACGTTTATACATATTGTCTTTTTTCAGGTTAACCCTGAGAAATTTTCTATACTAAAATATACATAAATAATATTTCTCCATTTGAAAGCTTCTGAGAATTGTTAGTATTGTTAAGTTCTATTTTTTTAAAATAATCATTTCACCCCAAGCAAGGTGATAATGTCAGTAAGACTGGGAGCAAAAGAGAATGAGAAGACTTTAATGAGGAAATATAGAATATAATAAAAACAAATTATAGAATCAGTTACTTCCATTATTAGAAATTTATATATATTTCTACAAATTCATTCGTGTGTTTTATTCCAATTAAAAAGAAACCGTTATTGGGAGGAATATAAAAGATGAAATTAGTTGGAGATATTTTCTAGATTTTTAAAATCCGCAGAATTGTGCTTGTGCAAAACTTTTGTTCAGGAATTAATCGCCTAATGCAGTAGGTGAGACTAATAGTTAAATAAAAATTGATGAGATTCTTTTTAAACATTAATCTCACAAAATTAAAGTAGAAATTGAAAAGAATTTAATGGAAAACATTTACATTTGCTAAAATTTAACTAAGGCTTACGGCCATATACCGGTTTTCGTCTGATCACCGAAGTTAAGAAACATCGAGCATGTTCAGTAACTAGATAGGTGACCGCTTGGGAATGCCAAGTATCGTAAGCTTAGATGTTCAGATGTAAATCGGAGAACCGAGTTCGAATTCTAGTCGGTTTCGTTATATTTACTTATGCACAAGTACCCTTAGAAAAAGTGTGAATCCACCACTCCACCAGCTATGGGTTCAATAGCAAGATCTGTATCTGAAAATCATTATTATCTTCTACAATAATTTTAATACAGTATTCACTTGAAAACAAAATAAGAATTCTTCTTACAATCGAAAAATATGTTTTGGCTTTAAATAACCTACAAAAGGTCGATAAGACGTAAAAATTGAATGAATCAATAAAATTTAATCTTCTCTGTAATGTGCAATACTAGTTTCTTAATACAATGAGAGATAAAATATGTAATAATAGCTTATCCATATCGTCAAAAAATGATGGTGTGTTTTTAATAAATAAGTAATTTTACAATTGTGTTATACTTTTAACTATTTTAAAAAATGATGCTCTATATTTTCTTGTTTGTGTTCAATACTTCCTGAGTATTAAACGAAACAAATAACATTGTATTAACAATTGGTAAATTATGTTGTTTTTTATCAAGTTTAACATAACATGAAATTCTAATTTTATTAAATCTCCAAAAGAGTTCATAAGTAGAGATAGACAACTCCGTCCCAGAAGTCTCCACTGTATACATGTAATCAATGCATTTATTTCTATGTAGCAGACTCTTTTGACGACACGGATAAGTGTCACACACACATACACACAAACTATATATAGTTTTAAATGTGTGCATATATTTTTTAATGATTTTATCCCAAGCAAGACAATAAAGCCACTAAGACGCAATTATTACTGAGTGTGAAAAATATGAAAAAAAGAAAAACATTATTAAAAAGAAAGGACAATAAAAAACAGGAATTAAGAAGACAGAGGATAACAATTGAAATTGCATTTAATTTTTTGAAGATCAAAGTTCAGTGGTATGCCAGAATCCGGAAAAGATGTCCACAAGAGAGAAAAACAATGGAAGAAACTGTCAATATAGAACTTACGATTATGTCTAACAGTTTGTGTATAATAATAATAATGATAATAATAATATATAGTGATCAAACATAGTGTTCAGACATAGTGATCAAAGACTAGAAGAACAGAATGTGCTTTCTTATTGACACTGCCTGCAGACTGTAATGCGTCTTTGAAGATCTTCACAAAGCTATCAAAATACAAGGATCTTAAAGTGGAAATCTCAAAAATGTGGCACATGAAGACATCAGTAATTCCAGTGATAGCTGGAACTTTCAGTTTGACTGGAAAAGGTTCTGATAGACTCATTAAAGGGATCCCTGGTAGCTCATACCTGAAAGGAATATAAAAAATTGTAGTCACAAGCACAGCTCACACCTTACGAAGGGCTTTATCAATGTAAAATGTTTGTGATCTTAGGTTGTTTTATTTTATTTATTTTTTTACAAAATTATTCAATGAAAATGTTATGATGCCATTTCTGACTTTAAGTCTCTTGTTGGATCATGGAAGGAAATGAGTATACAACAAAAATCAAATAAATCATAATAATACCAATACTTCTTCTTCTACTACTACTACTACTACTACTACTACTACTACTACTAATAATAATACTAATAATAATAATAATAATAATAATAACCCAGAAAGAGAGCAGAAAAGGGACAACCCAAACCGGGAATATGTTTACCAGTGATCTGGAAAATCCCAAAACCACAAGTAACTGAAAAAAAAATCTGTTATTCACTCAGTAACCTGGGATGCGGGGTATTTCTTGATGAACGCAAAGGGTGTCATAATGGAAGCAAAGGCATGAATGATCTACAATAAATCGGCAAAAGAATATTGAAATAAGCTAAACAAGAAAGAAGATCCAAAATCATGGCATAGAGAAAATACAAAAAATAAAATGAGAACTAACCCTTATCATTATTCAATATCAGAGTGATTATACCGCTGAACTATATATCAACGAAATGTAACCAAAGTTAAAATTCGCGAAGTGTTGAGTAACGTTGAACCATTTCATGTACATAGATGACCTTAAAATTTGTGCCAAGCAGAAAAAGGAAATGGATGCATCCGGTCAGAATCTTCTGCCAGGATATAGGAATGGAATTTGGTATTGAGAAGTACGCAATGTTGGTAATAGAGAAACATAAACAGTAGAAAGAATCAAGCAACCCAACCAACTAGGAAAACAACAAAAGCTCAATTAAAATGAAGGCTACATTAACTAAACATGAGCCTAAACAACATCTTGTATCTACAAATATCAGGGAGTCGTGAAGATGGCACATCATCTTTGAAAAAACATTCTGACCACTTATGGAATGATGCCACAAAGAATTGCTGCAATCCACCGGCCAAGAGTTGTTCTATACAATACCAGACACCTGGAACACAGGTTCGGTTCATGTCGGAAGGCACATTTTATTTACTAGGATTTCTCGATCTAAATCTGTTTTTATTAACTTCACTGTTTAATAAAATTAAAAGAAAATAGGGATAGATACTCAAACATGTGTACGTACAAAAAATAAATATATATATATATATATATATATATATATATATATATATATATATATATATATAAAAACAGTGCTCGATAGAAACAGTAGAAAAATAATATATTCTTTTTTTTTAAAATATGATTCCATCGTGACACAGAAATTTATGTTTAAAAAAAAACATAAAAATTTCTTGTGTCGCAATGGAGTCATATTTTTAAAAAAGAAAATAATTAATATATATATATATATATATAATGCAATTTTTATATATATTATTTATATATTATATATGCGCGGTACTTATTGGAAAGGGGTATCAGTGATATATACACACACGCACACATATATATATATAGGTATCATATATATATATGTATATATATATGCATATTTATATACGAATGATATATATATATATATATATATATATATATATATATATATATATATATATATATATATTTTATATATATTCATTATTATAGATGCATATACTTTTATTGAAAGGGGTATCATATATATATACATACATACATATATATATATATATATATATATATATATATATATATATAGGTATCATATATATATATATATATATATATATATATTTATATACGAATGATATATATATATATATATATATATATATATATATATATATATGTAGTCCGATGAATTTCTAAATGATGAAACGCGTCACAAGAAATTTTCCAGTTTGTCATATATATATATACAGAGGAGAAGTTCGATAAAAGAAGAAAAAGAAATCATAGTTATTGTTTCGGGAAATCGAATGATTGATGGTCGCCATATCTTCAATGGGATATTTTCATCAAGGAAAAGCAGTGTCGCCATAATGGTGAAAATAAGGCGGGAAAATAATAGAAAGAGAAAGGAAAGTAAAAAGTTGTGTTTAAAGAAAAGGAAGTGAAACAAAAAATTATGTTCAAAGAAAGAGAATAAAAACAGTGAATAAAGAAGAAAGTCAATACAACGAATAAAAAAAATTATGTGAAGAAAACTGAAATATAGATCGAGGAGATGAAAAAAATTATAGTTATGAATAAAGGAGTGGTAATGAAAAAGAAAGAGTGCATAGAAAGAAAGAGAGAGAATGTTATAAGAAAAAGAAAAGAAAAATGTAAGAACGACGATTTACATGTTTGAAAATAAAAATCAAAACGAAGGGAAATAAAAATAGTGGATGTGGTGAAGCAAGAAAGAAATCTTTCAAGTTAGAAGGAAAAAAGATAAAATTGTTCGAAAGAGACGATGAAATAGCTGAAAGCAAGATGTAGAATAATAAAAAAGAACATGAAGAAGAAGGAAGGGGGAGGATGGAGAGCAATGAAGAGCAAAAGAAAACAAAAGGAAGAATAATATAAGAGAATAAAAGATAAATGATTGGTTAAAGAATGAAGAAAGAAAAAGAACGAAATTGAGAGAATGAAAAAAATCATTTCAAGTTAATGGCCGCGGATTACTGATGGAAATAAAAAAAAATTGACCCATCGACTAAAGAGAAGTGACACGAAAAGTAATCAAATTGTTGAGATTCAAAAGAATAGTATTTCGGGACGGATATAAAGAAAGTTATTTAGATAAAAGAAACTTTCGAATTATGGAACCAACATGTTATTTTAAAGACATAATGCAGGCAATTCAGATGAAACATCTAATAAAAGCTTAATCAAGGCCGATACTTAAACAAGGTAATACAAAGAGTAAAAAAAAAATTACTTATGAAACTCATAATTATCTTGGAGTTTGTTATTTTTGCACGAGTACCCTTAGGAGAGACAGGAATCTATTTCTTCTCTCTTCAGATATGGATTAAATAACAGGGTAAACTGTGCTTTCTAGACTTCGGTGGCAAGCAGTCTAAGAGAAAGGAAACATTAAATTCCAAACCACTCGATTATCTTTCCCAAGAAGGCATGACAATTCCCGGATAATAAAGTAAAGGTGTGATTAGCGAACCATGATCTTTTACTTCATGGACGTAGACAGTATTCTTTTTTAAATTCCTAAATTTATACGCGGGTAAATTTATATCTTATTAAATATACAATTATCACGGTCTTCGTTTATTTTTTAAGAAAATTTTTAAATCTCTACATTTATACGCGGGTAAATTTATATCTTATTAAATATGCAATTAACCTTGGTTTTTGCTTATTCTTTAAAGAAAACTTTTTAAAATTTTTTGATTGATATCCGAGTTGTTGATATTTAATTTTTTGATTGATATCCGAGTTGTTGATATTTAATTTTTTGATTGATATTCGAGTTGTTGATATTTACTTGGTTTAGTTTTTAGCACAAAGCCACAAACGTATCAAACTGAAAATTCCTCTAAAAATCGTTGACTTTGTTAAGTTTCGACGTCATCAGAAAAAAATTATATAACACAAGAAATATCTTCATTAGCGAGAGGAAACGTGATTCACGTTAAGCGTTTGAACTCCCGATTTCACTTAAACTGTTTCGTTAAAGAA